TTAAGGGAAATGACATTTTTATATAGGCCTATCAAGATATTTGCATTACGTAAAGGAACGTAAAGGAACACCACGTCCGACGTTACGATATCGCAAACGTTTCACGTGTACTTGTGGTCGTCCACGTCGCGTACTGTTGTCCGTATTCATTGGGCGAAACACAGTTCATAGATGAATTCTTGACAAAACAGGAGGGTATACTAGAAACGCACAGGTCGGCTATCGGGCAGAGACTGAGTGCATGGCACAACTTGGCAACAGTGGACAGTTTTCTAAAAGCTGATTGGATGCCGCATGCCCCGCCCCACCCGACTCGAACTGGTTTCGGTCCTATTCTGTATTCTATTCCACTATAAATCAAGAGAAAAGAAAGTGAAATATTCTAACTTGGCATTATCAGCAGAGCCACTAGTGCCCTTAGCAACACAGGTCAATGTTTTTAAACTACCGTCAATGTTTTTGGAACAGCAGGGTCTTTTTCTCAGAATGAAGGGTAGTAGTAAAAACAAACAACAATGACAACACTCTCACCAGTCAGGCCCGGCAACGATGTGTGCACTCAAGGTCATAGACCCTCGCTCTCCCCTCTTGACACCAGGTCGCTTCAATTTTGCTGACAAAATGCAAGTGACGAAACAAGGAAGTAGAGACAAAAAATATATTTCTTTACTCAAAAGCATAGCACTGTCAAAGAAATTAATTCATTGTAATTTGTGAGTTGTTAATATTATTGGATCTTAGAAATATCTTTTTTGAAACCCCATCTAACTTAAGAACAAAATTTATTTTACTGATGATAACTTTCATAAAGTTATAAAACATTTAGGCCTAACCTTTTTGTTGACTTACTTGCTGATGCCGATCCAGACGATTACTAGTGTTGTTACTGAATGACAAAGTCAAAAAGGACAATAAGAAAATAAAAGAACAAGATACAGATCTACACTAGATCAGATTTTTCTTTTGTTTATAATTTGTTAAGTAAAATACGGTACTAAAATATATTTTTAACTAGGTATGGAATAAACAATAAATAATTAAACTGGTACCTCGGATAAATAGTGTTTCTTTTGACTTTGTTTTCTTTGCACTGTTAAGTGTTGTGCGTCACGGCTTTTGTCAGTAGACGACTAGACTGGCTCTGGCTAGTGGCAGTGCGCTAATTGCTCTGTTGTGTCTTTATTCTTAAAGGTCGTGAGCAAACTTAATAACAAATGAACTAAACCTGTCACTGTCAGATAATGAACATCGACTGAAGTGAAGACAATGTTTTGACACTTGAGATTACATATCAATCGCCAAACAAACATTCCCCCTTCCCACCCTTCCGTGCTTGGGGTGTTGTTATTGGCCGTCACTGCCCCGCCCCCTGGGTCTGCTGCATACCAAAGCGACAGGACTTTGACTTTCTCTTTCCCCACCCCCCGCGTTGTTTGTCAACAAGGGCGCTGGCGCTGACCCCTCACTTACGCACGCAACCCTCACTGAACACGTCAAATAAATAACCCGTATATGAAATACTTACGCCTGGCCAAAAAAATAACGATTTAAAACTAACGGATATATTATCTATTCGTTAGCTATAAAACTAACTGAGTAGAAGTTATTTTCAGCACTTAACACTCTAAAGTTAGTCGAAAAAACTAACTTTAGAATTTCTATTTGTTATTCCCAAGAATGTCAGTAATTGCCAATTATTGTTCTGGAATTTGCTACGTTTTAAGCATAACAAAGTACATATAAAATTTGTATTTGAAATCTTTGTCAATGTCATCAAATTTTATCATAACAATTTATATTTGCTTGATCCGAAGATGACCCGAAATGCTGTCGAAATTACGGCTTACTATTTGAAATGAAGTAGGCCTACTATAGACGATTTAGATTGGTAATTTATAATAAAAATTACGAAAATAGGCCACAAACTATTGATACATAAAGAACGTAAATCATAAACAATTCATGATGGTTTGCTGAACAAATTTTTACTTAAATGAGTTATCTTTTTCTTAGCATAAACTAACATTTTGGAATCCAGACAGAAAAAGCAAAACTTATACAGTTAACACATCAATTAATTGAATACGGCTGCCAATACGACTGTATAAATAAGGTGCAACACCAACGATAACTAATTTGTAAATTACAGTGATGTTTTGGAACGTAAAAATGATTCTTGCTGCTACCAACGGTTCTAAGGTAAAGAACCAGTAGGCCTACCCGAAATCTACGTTTACAGTTAAGAATTACGTCCGACCAATTAAATGCGTTAATCAAGTCCCGAGGTTATTGATTTCTTGGTTTTGGATTTTCTCGTAAACAGTTATCGGCAATCAAAGTTATTTCCCATTAATTGTTTTATTCGTAAACAACTTTTAATGTAAACTTATTGGTGTCAGTTTGAAAAAAAAACAACCTTATACAAACAACTTTTTGTTATTTAATAGATTACGTATTCTCTAAACAATGATTATATATCTTTTAACTTTAGAAGGAAATGTGACAAAAATCACACAATGCTGGGTTTTTGGACATTTATAAATTTATTTCTTATGTAGGGAGGCCGTGTATTCTAGGGAAAAGTACCGCTATCAGTACTTATTTGTCGTCAAAAAGGTTGTTATGAATAATTGGGTAGGCGTAAGTACCCAATAGATGGGCTATGGGCATATTGGCTGTATGGTCCAGCGATTGCATCACACGGTGAGTAGGATCAGAAAGTGACACATTGGAAAAGCGAGTTTAGCATCATCCATAAACCGTAAACCTCTGTTACAATCACCCACTGCAGTTGTGATTTTTTACTTTACACTTTACGCAACCGCCATTGAAGCGCCGTCAATGAGTGGAAACCTTGTTTGTAAGCTATTGGCGACGATCATTAATAAATTTAAGTTTCCTAGCCCTATACAACACTGATTCAAGGTCTTCTTTCTGGTTATCAAAACTCAAGAACAATTTCATACACAAAGAATCTCTGGTTTGTGGCCTGGATGATGCCTAGTTATTTAATGTCATTTACGGTTACCCTATATTATTCCACTTGCGATTAATTAAATCCGTTATGTAAGGAAAACATTTTTAATCTCACTTGGTTGGGATTGAACAGCTGTACGTTATATCATAGATGATTATGTGATAAAAATTGGACAAAAATTTGACAAAAATCGCACAAAACTGCATTTTTAAAAGTCCGTAATTTTATTTACAAATTAGTGAGGCCATATTTTAATGGCTAAAGACACTCTCGCCAATTCAGTGAATACATTAAAATGACTTGGATCTTGATAGGTACTCTCGTTTTCCTGGAGAAGATTGCGTAAAATGCCATCTTGAGTGTTACAGACAGACAGAAAGACAGACAGAAATTTAGATGAGACTTGTTTCAGCTTCTTTAATGTATAAAATGTAAAAATAACCTAAAAATTTACGATTCTGAGCAATGTACAGACAAAACTCTAATTTTATTTATATAGATGGTTTTTGCCGTAAATAAACAAATTGAATTGAATTGAACCAACATAGTTACTTGGCAACCCATAAGGCCAATGTTAAATTTTAGCGAATTTCCCTATAGGGAAGTAGCTATTACCGTAGGAGGCATAGTTAGACCTAGACCCGGGACCGATTTACTTTTTCATTTTGATGTCCCCAGAGGCCAAAAACACCATTCGTTCAAATTTTTATATGTGTGTATATATATACGTCCGCGAACGTGATAACTTCACGGAGTAATTTTTGTCCGATTTTGATGTAATTTGGTTTAAAGGTGTAAGGCGGAATACTACTCGGAACTTGAATGAGTTCGCGAACCAGCATGATCGGACCATGGGAACGGGGTTTTAAAGGGGGTTTGGGGTAAAAAGTGGGTTTTCTCATTTGTGACCATCAAAACACAAAATTTCTTAATTTCTCTCTAAACCTTTTTAAAGAGCTTAAATAAACAAATAATTTAGTATATCAACGTGTTTTTTTACGGTTATTGATAACGGAGAAAGTAGACAAAATTGTAAATTTAAAATGCCCATGTTATTCTTATGGAGAATATTGTAAAATGTTGTAGTTTGCTTGTTTATGGGTATATTTTGATCCAACTTGGCAAAATTATTTATTTTATATTAAGCTATTAGCATTTTACAAAAAAATGCACTTTATTAGTTTCCTTGTAGCAGCAAACCTAGGTACTCATTAAACCGAATGTTTTTTTAAATAGATTTAAATAAAAATTGATTCCGACAAATGGAATTTGCTTTGTCGGCAGGTTTGCTGCGGTGGGGGTATTCAAATGAGTTATGTAGAGAAATACAAATTTCCTGAGGTATTGGCTGTCACGTTTTTAGGGCTATAAGTTCCTAATTCCAAAATTTAGTCTAAATCCTTTAGCTGGATTTTGAGATATATATACTACAGACAGACAGACATATCTCGTATTAGAGAATAGGATTAACATTAGATTTAATATTTTACAGGTATGTTTCTACATGGAAGTTTTATTAAAGTGTGTGTGTTTTTTTATAGGAAAGTTAATAGCTTAATAGCTTAGTTAAGCTTAGACCTAGACCCGGGTCTAGGTCCAACTTCTGTAATAGCTAATTCCTTATTCGAGATATTCGTTAGAAAATATTTTAGGGAGGAGCTTTAAGTGAATTTGTAGTAACCAATGGGGACCAAGCAATGTTTTGGATTTGTTGTTTATTACACCTTCTTTACACAACAGCTTGATACAGACTAAAGAAAAATAAAAAAAAAATAAAAAAATATGCATCACACTTTTTTATGCCTGCGATTTTGTTTTTGTTTAGTTGAATAAAAGAAACAGTTTGAAGGGGAGTATGGTGTTTTGTGTGTTTTTTATAATATTCTCTAAAACAATTGTTTGAAAGTGCCATATTTTTTTTATCTCTTTGACTAAAAAGTTGTATAATATAGTGTGTTATAGAGATCATAAATGTTATAGTAACTCCTTAAAAGTTCTTATGTAATGTAGCTTCTATTTATAGGCAAAACATGGCTCAGACTGAGCGAGAGACGGAGTTTGCTCACAAGCAAGTCACTCTGATGCAGGAAGCTACAAATGAATGTAGAAGCAACTATGAGACACTGGTGTACAAGGACAAAGCTCTGGGCAAGAGATTCAAACAAGAGTTTATAAACACACCAGCCTCTCCCGCTATCATCGAACAGCTTGTCAAGTATTTTCGGTAAGACAAGATAATTGTTTTTATTTGACTTGTTAATGGGCTTGTTAAGGACTTGTTTTAATGGAATTGTTTTTTAACGAACATATATAAGAAAATGTGCTCTAATGAATGGTTGGGCTTGAATAGTTTGAACATTCATGATGTAAACATTTCATGTTCTAAAACATTGTAAGGGTTTATAAGGGGTAGTTATTGTTTTACTAAGTTTCTGGCACACCATGACACCAGATTTAAACTACAGATGAGTGAAGGATGAGTTTTAGCGAATTTCCCATATAGGGAATAAGCTATTACCGTAGTACTCATGGTAAGACCTGGACGCGGGACCGATTTTTTTTTTTGTTTTGAGGTCCCTAGAGGCCAAAAACACCATCCGTTCAAATTCATATATATATATATTTATATATATATGTGTCCGTCAGCACGATAACTCAAGCAAAAATGATCCGATTTTGATGAAATTTGGTACAAACGTGTAAACCTACGTTTATTTGAACGAGTTCGCGATCCAGCATGATCCAACCATGGGAACGGGTGTTTACGTGGGGTTTTATGGGGTAAAAATAGGTTTTTCCCATTTTTGACCCAAAAAACTTAAAATTTTGCAATTTATTTCCAAACCATTTTGTAGAGCTTAAAAAAACAAATAATTTAGTATATTGAAGCGTTATTATGCGCTTAACGGTTACGGAGAAAATTCCAAAAAATTGTAAATTTAAAATTCCCATGTTATTCTTATGGAGAATAAGTAAACTGTTGTAGTTTGCTTGTTTATGAACGTATTTTGATCAAATTTGGAAAATTATTTTATTTCTTACTAACTATTAACATTTTACAAAAAAAAACACAATTTTACCCTCCCTGATGCAGCAAACCTAAGTACTTGTTAAACTAATTCTATTTAAATTGGGAATAAATGTTATATTTTTAAGTAGACATTTCAGTGTAAATCCAATCAGTCAAATGGAAATTCGCTTAGTCTGCAGGTTTGCTGCGGCGGGGGTATTTAGTTAACGTGATGATAACTCTAGAAGAAAGAAGAAAGATGATCGATGCCCTCTTCCTGAAAAGACTTCTCACAAATACGATCGACTGTCCTGAGTTACTTGATCTTATCACGTTTTGAATCCCCAAGGCTACTCGGACGCAGGAGTTGTTCTACCGACATCAGTGTTCAACCAGCTACGGATTTCACAGTCCTGTTCCAAGACTTCATCGTCAGGGAAATACTCTAACTCAGCATCACGATTATGACTTCTTTAATGACAGTGATTCTGCACTAAAGAGGATATTCTCCAATTGAAGATAGCTTCCTTTTCCCCTTCTTGTTTCTGCGCTGTGTTGTGTGTGAGGGGGGTGAAAGCAGAGTATTGGGGTTAGTGTCGTGCTCTTTAACCACTTTTTTTCCTCCATTACCACATGTTCTCCTAGTTTCATTATATAAGCCATCATTTTATTCTAGTCCAATCATTGTCAAACGATCACCTTTTTTGCCTTCTTGTTATTGTTAAGTTTTCTTTCATAATTTATATTTGCACTGTTAAATTTTCAATTCATTTTTGATAACCTTTCATCTCGGTTCATGTTCCTCCCAATGTTGTTACATTCACCATTATAGCACTTTAGTCACAATCAATCATTGTCACACTCTCATTGTCCATACTTGTTATTGTTGAGTTTTTATATTTTATTGCACTGTCAAATATTCAAATTTTTATGTTTTCCTTTTCGATCCTGTATTTAGCAAAGCAGGCTGTTAATGTTAGTTCAATTTCAAGACCATTGCATGTTTTTTTTCTTGTTTGCCGATGTTGTATGTTCATAGTATATTTATATTTGTTTTTCATTTTTCATTACTCAGTTGTGAATCATTAGTGTTAGCATGTATTCATAAAGCATGACCAAATAGCAAGATGTAAAACTTACAGCATGTTAATAGTATTTATTGATCCACAAATTGTTATGCATGTAATTGATTGTACAAATGGCGATTTTGCCGTAAATAAATAAATAAATAACTTTGTCACTGACTAAGATAAATGGTCAGATCAGTTGTTCAACTTGCAGTCTCCTCAAAGTTCATGACAACTTTCTAAAAGCCCAGTAATACAGGACCTTTTCAAATTACCATAAAGCTATTGAAAAATCTCAGAAGTGAACCCAGTGACCTACTCAGTAAGCTTTATAACCATTCCCCTACCCATTGTTGTTTGCAAATTGCAATGTAACAATTTATTGTTACATTATTTATTGTATGTTATGATGTGGTGTTTTTGTTAAGATCCCTGCAGTTGAAACTGATGCGACAACCTTAGTAAAATACATTAGAACATTCATCTCATTCCCAAAATAACCCCAAGATTTCAAAGTTAAGCCCAATTGAGTCATTCTTATTGTTTGATGTCTGTTCGTTTAGGAATTTAAATACAAAAAGTATTCTACAATACTAGTCATTAAGGGGATTTTTCATAGTAATCTATACCTATACTTATTTAATACACAAGCAGGATTTTTGTGACAATTACTCATCCGAAACTACTGAACCGATTGACATGTTTTTGGTGTCATTGGAAAGAGCGTAACGTGAAGTTGTGCAGGAAACTTTCTTTTTAGGTAAATAATTAGAGAGTGAGGCCCTGGGGCCCTTTAAAGTTTCGTATTTCTCCATAAGATTAACATGGGAAACAAACATTGTTTTGAAACTCCAGCTGTTGTCAGAAATTAAATATTAATAATTATTGGTCTCCATTCACAATGTTTACATTTGCTTCGAAATTTAAATGTAAACAACCAGAACTGTCAAATGCCTATTTCACAATTTCAGACAGCTGATCCAAAAAAATAAAACAACTATGTGGTAGGTTTATTTAATCTTAGACTTTATGATAGATTATTTATTATAAATCTACAGTAAACCCTCTCATATCCGGACTAATGTGGCGCCGGCCGATCCGGATAACAAAAAATCCGGATATGAGAGAAACATTGTTTTAGATGAGAAAACAGCTGTACAACAACTACGGTACTCAATTTTAGTAAGCCTTAAATACGGAAACGTTTGTTTATTAAATAAAACAACGGTATTTTGGTTATAATAACACTTTAATAGAACAACTAACCTCAAAAAATATTACGTAATACAGTAACGGTACAGTGAAAAAATGAAATGGAACTAAGAAAAACAATTTAATATAACATCAAAACTCAAAAAATATTACGTAATACAGTACAGTAACGGTACAGTGAAAAAATGAAATGGAACTAAGAAAAACTATTTAATATAACATCAAAACTCAAAAAATATTACGAAATACAGTAACGGTACAGTGAAAAAATGAAATGGAACTAAGAAAAAGACAAGTAGGCCTACTGTAATGAACAAAAATGTAGAGCTGTATACAGAGTAAAATAAAATTAATCCACGAGAACAGCTCTTACTTTGTACTCACAGTTAAGTTTTGGACAAAAACGATGTTATTGTGGCTTGTTTGGCTCGATTAACACGCTTCTTTGACGTAATGTCTCTCCACCTACGAAAAAGCAGAAGATCGGCACCCGTTGCTTCCTCTTGTTTCTCGACATACTCGATCAGCTGTTCGATGGCCTGGAAAGCCTCACTATGCGTCATGGTTGTTTTCTGGATTTCTTCTTCTTCGTCGTCGTCAGGAGCGGGGTCTGCGTTAACTAAGTCTATGATGTCATTGTCAGTAAACTCCTGGATTTCGTCTTCCTTCATCCACTCACTCACTGCGTCACTGTCTATGTTGTCACAACCAGGAACGTTTCTAAAAAGTTGAACGATTTCTTCACCTGTTTTGTCATTGCAGTTTTCTGTTTCTTTTTCTACTTCTTTGTTATAATCTTGGTCTACTTTGTGGTCCAAAAGCTTTTTCCACGATTTAACCAACGTTATCGGTTTGAGCTCTTCCCAAGCGCTAGAAATCCACAAGGCAACATCTAGCATGTCAGTGTCTTTAAGGCACTCAGAAACACTCTTTCCCACATCCATGCCCTCAATAATGATCGTCAGTAGCTTACGTCGATACAAACGTTTAAGTGTTTCAAGGACCCCCTGATCCATTGGCTGGCACAAAGAGGTTACGTTCGGCGGCAAAAACACGCACTTTATTTCTCCACTTGTTAGTTCATCTGCAGACGGGTGTGAAGGGGCGTTGTCAAGCAATAAAATAGCCTTCTTTGGCAAATTGTTTTTTTCAGCAAACTTTTCAACAGACGGGACGAACTGATTGTTAAACCACTCTCTGAAGATCGCAGAATTCATCCAAGCGCTTTTTTGTCCTCTGTACCACACCGGTAATGTCGACTGATCTTTGAAGTTTTTAAACGCTCTTGGTTTATTTGATTTTCCAATCATGCAAAATTTGAGTTTATTGTTTCCTGTGACGTTGCTGCAGGCCATTATTGTAACTCTCTCCTTTTTCTTCTTATAACCTGGAGCGCTACTTTCTTCCTTGGAAGCGAGAGTGCAGCTAGGTAGCATTTTAAAGTTTAGACCACTTTCGTCACAGTTGTATAACTGGTCCCCGCTGATTCCTTCCTCGTCAAGCAGCTTGTGTAAAAACATTTTAAACTCTCCCACAGCGTTTTCATTTGCTGACAACTTTTCTCCGCTTATATGAAGCTTTCTGACCCCATATCGATTCTTCCACTTTTCCAACCACCCCTCACTGGCTTTGAAATTGGGATCATTTCCGATTTCCTTATTAAATTGGAGAGCCTTTTCCTACAAAATGGGTCCAGACACGGGCAGTCCTTTTGATCTACATTGTGTAAACCACAAAAATAACGCTTCGTTCACTTTGTCATTTACGGCTGTTTTCATCATTTTGCACTTTTTTATTCCTGAACTTGATGCCTGGTTAGAACACCATTTTTCTATTTTTTCACGGGATTTTTTCCAGTCACTCACTGTACTAGTCCCAACTCCCATCTCACTCGCTATCTTTTTTGCACTTTCGCCCGCTTGCAAACGTTTCAACGCGTTAAGTTTGTCCTCCATCGTAATGACAATCTTTTTTCTTTTTTCGGCCATAACAATTTCGCCTCTAGCACTCTTCCTTCCCGAAACTAAAACGAACCGTACAAACAAAGACTAGGTCACTGAGGCACAAAAAAAGCAGCACTGACAACTGACACGAGTGATGAATTGTCGTCGCCGCGCATGAGTAGGGCGTTGGCGTGGGTAGGAGGGTGGGTAGGAGGGGTGGGGGAGGGATTCTATTTTTGTTTCGTGAGTCAGTCAGTGACCTTGCCCGCGAGACTGCACGTCGCACAACCCTCCCGGCGCGCCGGCGTCTCTAACCGGCCTACAAACAGCGACTGCTCGGTCAACAAACATTCGCAGACGGCCCTAGAGTGTTTTTTTAATTTTTGCATTTTTTCAAAATCGCGTCCGGATATCGGAGGGTCCGGATATGGGAGATCCGGATAAGAGAGGGTTTACTGTATTTCAATGATTATGAAACAGATTTTTCCCGTTGCGAAGCAAAAATTCAAAGTAAAAAGAAGAAGAACATATGTTAATTGTAAACAGTCAATGTGTAAATTATCTATGTTGTATTAAAACAAAAATGTATAAGTTTTGGATGTTGGTTTGTGTTTAATGATGTTATATAATTATAGAATTTTTATTTTAAGGCTTTGGCATATGAGTAAGTCTATGATAAATAACACCATTTCAGAGTTCTGCCAGTTTTTGCCTAACTCTGTCCTATAGAGTTTAAAGTATTCTACACCTTATTGTCTACAAATTGGCTAAGTAAATTTAAGTACAGTACTTTATAAAAGCTGACAGCCTTTTTACGTTGACTTAAATTGTAAGCTTACCTTTCCCCATTCATGGGCAGTTTGATTGTTATAAATTAACCCTTTAAACTGGAATAGGACTGTTATGTAAATTGTGAGTTTTTCCATTAGTTAATAATCTTTTAATTGACTCTTTTAAAATCATCGGAAATTATTACTGTTATTAGTTTTTAAACAAGTTTTTTGTTTATAAATAACTCCTGTACTTCTTTGCAATTGTTCGATTTCGAGCAACATGTACACTGGTAGGATAAAAGACATTAGTATTACTTGATAATTAGATCTTTATAATAGTCCTCTGTACAAATTGTGACATTTATAAATTCAATTTAAAAACCATGGCTGAAATATTAATATTATCAATACTGTAATCAACTTGTGTTAGTCGACGACCCAAGCTGCAGCAGAGAGCCACCCAGTATCCCACCTTGTTGTTAGAGCTGGCCAGATGTGTAGTGGAGAGCGACAACACGTCCTTTATGCCACCAGAGTTCCATGAGTTCTTGAGTGCTGTAGAGGCTCTTGACTCTCCTGTGAGTGCTCCACCCTTTGATGAGACAGTGTGGGCCACTCTAGTGCGAGTGCGCAGGGCCAAGATAGAGTCTGAACTGAAGGTAATCTCATTATCCCAACCATGACTTTGTGCTGTTAATGACTAATTGATAATTTAAAATGTGAATCAGCTGTAAAAATTAAATAATTACTGCAGTAAAAATACTGTCTCAAAAATAAGTCTTTGAAAGACGTTTAAAAAAGTGCTTAGATCTTTTAGCCAAATTTAAGTTTATTTAACTAGCAACTAGAGCCCTCACTTTGAGTGTTATTGTATCAGGTACGAGCGTATGCATTGGAGTTGAAGGAGGCAGAGTACACTCTGAGTGTGGTGATGAAGCAGATGAAGGCAGCCAGAGAGCAAGCCAACGCTCATGTGGCAGAGCTCAGGGCAGCAAAAGAGGAGAAGATACGGCTCAGCAGAGATCTGCAGGTAAAAGCAATATAATATGCATAGTGAAAAGTATCTAAAAAAGATTGTAGTGAAATTCTTGTAACAGAACATGTAAAAGATTAAGGGCAAGGAAAACATTACAGTATTATTAATAGGCGTGTGCAGTTACTCTAGTAGTATTTTTGAGCGAGTATTCAAGTATTTGTAGTTTCAAGAAAACTCTAAGAGTCGAGGTTTTAGTAAGTTTGATAGAAGCATTTGTATGACATAATCAATGCACGTTTTTTAGTCTCTAGCAAGTCATTTATAGTGAATTCTAATTTATAATTTATATTTGTATTTACTCGACTCGAAGAAGCTTGAAGCTGGCTAGTTTTTGTAAACTCAACTCGACTCAAAAATTTAAAACCTCACCTTTAATATGTCATAGGTCACTTTGTTTACGTCATTAGTCGGAAAAATAATGAACACAAAGTTTTGTTTAAGATTTGTCGTCTAAAAAAGAATGTATTTGTTCAGGTTCAGCTGGTGATGAAGCAAGGGCTGGTGGAGGCCCCTCTCACTGGTCACATCTCTGACTTCCAGCATGCTGTCCTCATCAACCCCAAGATTGTGGAGAACATCAACCAGCATGTTAGAGTAAGTAGCCTACACCAAGACACTGGTCAATCAGGTGGCATGAAGACAAATTGACTTTGATCAAACTGTATAGTCAGTCCAAAGAGTTATGATGTTTTACAGGCTATCGATAACTTGAACATTTAACTAAATACTCTAAGCAATTTTTGTAATGTTAGTATTTTGAAACATCCTTTTGTAATTACAGGGTTCCCACTCAACCGCGAAAACCTTAAAACCAGAAATTAGCCGGGAATTAGGTCAACCGTGAAAAAACCTTGATTTAGCCGTGAATTTGTTTTTGAAACCTTAAAACCCCAAATATGTTGCCTGGAGACGACACAAGGGGTCATTCATGTGAAAGTGAATACAGTGATATCGAGATTGTTGGGTGTGTGAGGTGTTGGCCGAAGCCCAGCGGTCCCTCCACCACCCCTGGTTTAAGTCAGAGACTTATTCACCAGTCCGATTTCCTGAAAAATCTTCAGATTCCTCTATCTGCTATCAGCTTCAATCTTTGTCCTTCCAGGCACATTCTCTGCCCAACCGACACCTCTCCCCTCACCTAGAACCCTCTGTATTAGGATCATCAGATTTTTTTTTAATCTTCTTAATTTATTTCATTTTTCCTAAATTATTTCATTTTAAATTCCAGCCTATCTTCCTGCATTTTCAAATTCATGCTTTTTCTTTCCTATCCTTCGACACATTCTGGCAAACTCTAACGCGGATTCTTTGCTTTTCAAGAAGTTGATCTTCTCCCAATCCCATGTCTTTTGTCGGAGGAATTCCCTCATGTTGCTTCTTTCTTATTCCTTGAATGGGCACTCCATCAGCAATTGTTGTGACATCTCTAGCTCTCCGCAATGAGTGCAAAGATCGTCTTCAAATAGGTTTAAACTTTTCAGCTTGGCCTTGAAGTTTCCGTGTCCACTGACGAACTGTGTCGTGTAGTGATCGGTTTCCCAATGGACTTTCTTTCTAAACCTCACATCTGGAACGAACGCAATGGTTTCCCTTCCTTTTGTGTTTGACTCCCACCGTCTCTACCAGTCAACCAGTGTTTCTTCTCTTCGGATCCTCATACTATCCTTGATGTTGATACCTTCTTTTTTGTCCCTTCTTCTCTTAATCCTTTCTTCAACCATCAAGTCAAGCGGGATGACCCCGGCAATCACTCGGACAGCTTCGTGGGATATCGTGCTGTAGCCCTTGATCACACCCAACAACAGTTTTCTCTGCAGACTCATCAACTTAGACTTCTCACCTCGTCCCCTCATTGCCTGTACTAAATAATAATGAAGAGAGAGAGAGAGAGAGAGAGAGAAAGAGAGAGAGAGAGGTGTTTGGCGGAAGCCCAGCGGTCCCTCCACCACCCCTGGTTTAAGTCAGAGACTTATTCACCAGGCCGCTTTCCTGAAATATCTTCAGATTCCTCTTCCTGCTGTCAGCTTCAATCCATGTCCTTCCAGGCACATTCTGTGCCTAACCAACACCTCTCCCCTCACCTAGTACCCTCTGTACTAGGATCATCGGATTATTTTTTTTCTTTCTTTCCAATCTTCTTAATTTTATCTTTCTTTCCTAACATTTTTCTTTTCAAATTCCAGCCTGTCTTCCTGCATTTTCAAATTCATGCTTTTTCTTCCCTATCCTTCGGCACATTCTGGCAAACTCCAGCGCAGATTCTTTGGTTCTCAAGAAGTTGATCTTCTCCCAATCCCATGTCTTTTGTTGGAGGAATTCCCTCATGTCGCTTCTTTCCTCTTCATAGAATGGGCACTCCATCAGTACGTGCTGCCATGTCTCCAGCTCTCCGCAATGAGTGCAATGATCATCATCTACGAGGTTGAAACTTTTCTGCTTTGCCTTGAAGTTGCCGTGCCCGCTGACGAACTGTGCCGTGTAGTGATCGGTTTCCCAATTGACTTTCTTTCTGAACCTCACATCCGGAACGAACGCAAAGGTTTCCCTTCCTTTTGTGCTAGACTCCCACCGTCTCTGCCAGTCAACGAGTGTTTCTTCTCTTCGGATCCTCATACTATCCTTGATGTTGATACCTTCTTTTTTGTCCCTTCTTCTCTTAATCCTTTCTTCAACCATCAAGTCAAGCGGGATGACCCCGGCAATCACTCGGACAGCTTCGTGGGATATCGTGCTGTAGCCCTTGATCACACCCAACAACAGTTTTCTCTGCAGACTCATCAACTTGGACTTCTCACCTCGTCCCCTCATTCATTGGCCCCACATCTCACAGCCGTACAGCATCATTGGTTCAAGCGCACCGATGTACAATCTTCTCAAGTTCTCAAAAAGTCATCTTCCTGTTTTCCCCCCACCTAGTGACCAGTTCCAAGGCTCTTGATGCCCTCCTCATGAGATCAGGGCTTGTGTTCGACTTCACCAAAAGCAGTCCGTCATCCGCATAGGCTCTCGCGGAGATACCTTCCTCGAAAGGCAGCCGCAAAAACCCATCGAACAGGATGTTCCACAACAGAGGGCCCACCACAGACCCTTGGGGGCATCCTTTAGTGATGTTCTTGTTCACCTCTCCGTTGCCAGCTCTTAGTGTCACGGTTCTGCCTCGGAAGTAGTCCCTTACCAATCGGTAGATGTTGTTCGGACATTGCCATCTCCTCAAAACTCTCAGAATCTCTGGCCACCAGGCGGAGTCGAAGGCTCCAGAAATATCCAGGAACAAGCCTACTACATACTTTTCATCTGTCTCTTCTACTTCTCTTCTCATATCCAGAAGTGCGTCTACAGTTCCAACACTTTCCGTGAATCCATATTGGAGTGGATTTGCCCTATTTTCCCTATCCATCCATTCTTTCATCCTTTTCACTATTAATCTTTCGCCTAACTTTCCTAAGACAGGTAAGAGGGTTACTGGCCTGTACGATTTAACCTTACTTGGGTCCTTTTCCTCGCTCTTCAGAAAAACTTTGACGATTCCTTTTTTCCACACATCAGGATACCTACCTTCTCTCAGCATCTTGTTGTACAGGTTCAACAGCGTCCCCTTGATCCTTCCAAACATTCTTTTAACTACTTCGTTCTTTATTCCATCCACTCCCGGGGCTTTCCTATCCTTCAGGAGTGAAACACATGCAGTTAGCTCCCCTTCCGTGAAATCTTCCTCATCTGTTCCAGTGCTTTCATCAATCATCCTACTTCTAATTCTTGCTTGTTCCTCTGTATCCTCCTCTTTTCTATCGTCTGGCAGCAATCCTTGTATCATTCTCTCTAGGGTCTCTTGCACTGCCTCTGTCATTGTACCGTCTTCTTTTTCCAGGCTAACCAGCACAGTATCCTTTTTCAGCTTCTCTGCAGCAATCTTATAAACCTTTCCCCACGGGTCACCCTCTTCCTCTGCAATTAACTTTTCCCACATATTCTTCTTTTGCTTCCTGATTCCCCATACGTAATCTGTCCTTGACCTAACAAACGCTCTCCTGTCCACTTCACTCCCTGTCCTTCTCCAGATCCTACTTTTCCTTCTCATTTTTACTCGCAATTCATCCAGCTCTTCTCCACCAGTATACCTTTTTCTTACCTAATTTTGCTTTTGGGAACTGTTCCTCCATCAGTTTGCACGTCATTTCTGTAATCCTTTCTGCATGAACCTCTGTTGTAGCCGTTTCAACTTCCATTTCCTGATTTCCTGCATGCTTCTCTGTAGAGCCTCGTCAAATTTCGCCCAGTTTACCTTCCTTAAGCAGTATGATTCTTGCCTCTGTTCATTCTGGATTATCCGATTACTTTGATCTCCTCGCAATTTCATAGTAATTAGCCGATGATCACTTAATGTCTCTTCATGAACTAACCAGTCCTCCATTTTTCCTGAAAGATCCCTTGTCACCAATGCCACGTCAATGTTTGATTTGCCTCCCTGTGTATTTTCAAACGTCGTCCACCTACTAAGTTTATTAAGAACCTGCAGATCCCAAGCCAGTACAACATCTTCTACCTTAGATCCTCTCTCATCCGTTGATCGACTGAGCCATAACCCTGACCTCCCATTCAAATCCCCACCACACAGCACTCCTTTATTTCCTTTCTTTCTAATGATATCAGCTAACCATGTCATATGCCCATCTATGGGATCCGATGGCCTACAGTACAAACTGATCACTTGCATAGCCTTTCCATCATATTCCAGCCTAACACTGACGCACGTTCCATTCGTTTCTCTGGCTTCCATGATAGCTCCGATCTTCTCATTGAACACAAGGATCACGCTCCAAATATCCTCCCTTCCGCTTCGATCATGAAAAACCCTACATCCTGATATCTTTACCTTTCTACCCACTGTGTATGGCTCCTGAACCAGAAGAACGTCAATCTTTTCCTGTAAACACCTCCTAATTGCCTCATCTGTAGCTGCCTTTCCCCTACCTAAATTCCACTGGGCTATCCTACAATCCATAATCAATCTTATCGTTGTTCCTCTTCACTGCCTTTTCATAAGCAGGACACTTTCTTGACCCTGCATCGTGCCTCAGATCACCTCGATTTTCTCTTTTGCAGTTGGCACAGCAGACTGCTTCTTTCTTTTTCTTATTAGGGCACTCCTTGTAGTCATGCTCACCAGCGCAGTATGAGCAGCTAGGCGTTGTCGCAGTACAATGCTTCGCTATGTGGCCAAACCTTTGGCACTTAAAGCATCTGGCTATGTCTACGTAGTCCTTAACCCTACAGCATTGCCCTTCTACAAATATCTTGTCCTGCCTTCGTAGCCACTTTTGTACTCTCACAGAGCACTCCACCACGATGTGATTCTTCTTCCTAGCTGATTTAACGTCTTTGTACTTATGTCGCACCTCAAACTCCTGTATGAATTGCCCCTGCTCAATTTCTCTACCTTGCATACTTCTTCCTTAACCTCGTTTTCTGTCAGCTCAGCGTTCACGTCATAAATCATTATGACGGGTCTCTTCTTTGTCGGCTTCTCAACCTTTAAACTTGCATCCGCTAGAGATTTTTTTTTTTTTTTTTTAAAGAGGTTGGCGGCCTCTTCA